GTGTGCCGTCAGAGTGACTCTCTGTGTGTCAGGGATAGTCAGGGCCGTCCATCAGAGCTCCAGTAAGCTCGGAGACGCCCCATTAGCGCGGCTCGACCTCTTTGAGTTACTGCCTTCGCCCGGCGGTGTTTGGCTGTAGAGCCTCTACAACAAACTCTACAGCAAAATCGCGCTCTACATCGCTCTACAACGCACGCAGTTCGTCACGCGGCGGATGTAGAGCTCTACAGCTCTACAGCGCTTAACATCTCTACAGCTCTACAGTGCTCTACACTCTACATCCTCTACACCCTCCCTCAGATCGACCGCAGCTGTGACATGAGTCACTGTCATCACTCACCAGCTGTTACGGTACGCCGCGTGCGTGAGAGAACTGTTCACAACAAAACAGGCACTGCCACCATGTGCTTATTTCATATTTGGAGTGAGTTATTTCTCTCGTCTGTTTGCTGCATCGTGTGGTGTATGAGACTAATAGTCCATGCGCTTCAGCCGGCTGCGGAGCTCGCTCTCCCGACTTCGCTCTTCCTCTTGCGGGTCGTGACGATACACGTCAGTCCGCTCTAACACTGACACGGTGAGGTCACCGAATGGAGGGCGAACGGCACGATACGAAAAGGCAGGGCGAGGCGGATGGAGAAAGAAGTGCCGAGAAGGCCATGGTGGAGGGGAGGGACGGGAGGACGAAAGAAGGGCGAGGAGGACGAGCGGCCCGCACAGACCGCGAGCAGACAGGACAGCGCCTGCTGGCCATTTCGAGACATTCGCCAAGAACGCTAGCTACAAGGGAGGGCTTCGTGAAGGATGGATTGAAAAACATTCGAACAAAGAAGAGGCGACGGGAGGAACCGGCGGAGGATGCAGTGACGTGACACACACACACACACACACACACACACACACACACACACACACACACACACACACACACACACACACACACACACACACACACACACACACACACACACACACACACACACACACACACACACACACACACACACACACACAACACACACACACACACACACACACACACACCGCTCACCCACGCGCACTGGGCCTTGCACTTTGAATGCCGTGGGGCTCCTGTCGTCAGACGTGGAGACGCGAGGGTTGCCCCCCTTGCCCCACCACCTCGTGTGTGTGGAGAAGTTTACCTTACCTTACCTTACCTTACTGACACAGCTCAGTGCCGAATCAATCTGATGCAGCCGGGAGATGCACTCGGAACGGACTGGGGGCAAGTCCTGCGACGGCTTCAGCCTGAAGACGCAATCGAACTTTTTCGTGTGCTTGTTATTGTCGCACGAGTAGGTGTATGCAAAACCGCCGTGCGGGCAGATCAAGGCCGAGCCGAACTCGAGCTGCCGCACGCAGTGGCAGTCCGTCTTGCCGGCCCGCGGGCATGTGGGCGGTATCCAGCAGAAGCGACGCACCTTGATCTGGCGGAGAGAGGGCAGCGTGACCGGCAGGAGCTGGTAGTCCTTGAGCGCGCCGTGCTCCTCTTTGGTCAGCACCCTGCGGTGGAAGGACATGCCCGGCCCCTCCGTGATCCGCGTGACCTGAGCCGGCCGGCAGATCTTGCGCTGAGAGTCCTCGGCCTCACCCTGCTCGTAAGGCTGCTGGCTCCAATACGCAAAGCCGCCGTGAGGGAGGATCAGCCGCGGCTGTCTCGCCTCTTCGCCCGCCACAAGCATTGCAGATTTGATCGATACGTACGCAAAATGCGTTGCCTCCTCCGGAATCTGGTTCGCTGCCCGGCTCGCGCGCGGAATCGTGACTGCTGCAACCTCGGAGAACTCCAAATACGCCGGCCTCGCGCCGACTCCGCCGCTGGGCCACACTATGTCGAGGTCGGCACTGCACAGCTTACTCGATGCCAACGGGCCGAGAGACAAGAGCGGCTCGCGCCGCGGCGGGAGCGGGCGGAACTTGTCGAGCAGAGAGATCCAGCTCGGGTTGAGGGCCTCGAGCCGCACCCGGCCCGTGGTGGGCTTGAAGTGGCGGGAGGACAGAGAGAGCAGGGACCCATCGCTCGCCCTCTTGACCAATGGAGGGCGGCTCTCGGTGCCAGACGGCGGCCGCTCCTCGCTCACTTCAAGACTCTTGAGTTGCTCCAGCCGCGGTGCGACGCTGCGCGAGACGCGGAGCTTCTCCAGCGTCTCCTTCACCTTGTCGGGGGTGGTCCAATCATGGCCGTGCTTTTCGAAGAGCTCGGTCAGCAGCGCCTTCGCGCGCTCGTCCGGCGCCGTCGCCAGGGCCACCTCCATCTCGACCGCCTCCACAAAGGCGCTCCACCGCTCCGGCTCCTCCTTGGCAAGGTCGAGGAGCGCCTCTGCGCCGCGTGCTGTATCCATCACGACAAGGGCGCACGTGCTCGACGGCTTTGGCGCCGTCGGACTCAGCAGTCGGGCCAAAGCGCCGTCCAATCGGAGCAGGCAGTCCAACAGCCGCAAGTGCAGCCGCTCGTTCTTGTCGTGCTCCTGCCGCAGCTGCTCCTGCGCGTCCTCGTTGTTCCAGAGGCTGGCGCCCTTGACGTGGTGTCCTTGCGCCCGGAGGGCGGGCAGCTCGCGCAGCCTGCTGCAGATGATTTGCTCGACCTTCTTCTTCGTCTCGTCCTTGTCCGAGCTCGTCCTCTCGTCCCGCGGCCCGATCAGGTCCGCGTTGAGCGGGCCCAGCCAGAGCACGTTGTTCTGCGACTTCCAAAACTTGGAGCGAGATCGCCTCCACTTGATAATCATGTAGACGTAAAGCCCGATGAAGAGGTGGAAGCCGACCCACACGCAGATGGTCACCACGAACGGCGACGAGATGCGGTACGGCTTGCCGCCGATCTCCTCGGCATAGGTTGGCTCGAGGAAGTCTGTGTCCGACGAGTTGACGTACATGGCATTGACCGACTGCACCATGATGAGGATGAAGGCGAAGGCGAAGCAGATGAACACGTACAGGTCCACGAGGGTCATCGTGTTGCAGTCGTCGGGCAGCCGGTCGGCGATGACCGGCTGAAAGGCGACGATCGCTAAGAGCGCAGTCAGGGTGATGGAGGCGCGGTCAGCAAACTCGTCCTCGTTCACGACGAAGGAGGTGGCGAGTGCTGTGGTGAGGAAAAAGAGGGGCACCACCACCGAGAAGATCCAGAAGAACGAGTGCCGCTGCACGCGCATCCCGATCTGCAGCAGCGGGTATGTCTTGCCCGAGTTGGACTCGCTGGGCGGGGTGGTGTCGCGCGTGAAGCGCAGCCGCTCTTTCAGGGTGTACGAGCTCGACTGGAGGAAGCCGCGCGTGATCACAAAGGAGCGGTACCTGTCGTTGTCGTTGCGCTCCAGCTGGACGGAAAAGCCGGAGCCGTCCTCTCGAGCGTGCTCCGACGCCATCTCCATCGTGAGGTCCTGCTCGTCGAAGGGAAAGTGCTCGAGCTCAAACTGCTCCTGGAAGGTGCCGGTGCACTTGCTCGAGAGGCAGACCACCACCGAGTCGTCGCAGGACGGGTCGAGGTAGATCTTGAGCCAAGTCTCGGTCTCGCCGGACGCGAGGTTGCGAAAGTAGAGGCGCGGCGCGAAGAACCTCTCCCCTTCCAGGCCGGTGAAGTACAGGTCCTTCTGCCCAGACTTGGAGTCGTCGAGCAGGTCGTTCAGCCGCTTCTCCTGCCGCCGCTGCCTCTCCGCCCTGTCCGCCTCCGACTCCCCGCTCGAACCCGTCTCCTGCAGCGGGTCGTCCTCGGGCTGCAGCTTTCGCAGCATCGGCAGGATATTGCCGTCCGTCCAGCTCGCCTCGTACTTGAGGTCGGCGGTGAAGGTCATGCCCTTCAAGTCGATGTTCAGCAGCCGCTCAACCACGGCTCGCACACGTACCACGCGGCACAGGCCGGCGGCGGTGTAGGCGGGCGCAGACAGCTTCTGCCGCGGTCGGAAGCGGCGGCCGAGATCCCAAGCTCCCTCTGTCGCCTTCTCGCCAACGGCGGCAACGATTCCGGCAGTGAGCGGAAGCTTGGGCATCGGCGGCGAAGGCGGTGGCGAAGGTGGAGGTGGCAGCGGAGTCGGCAGCTGCTGGCCGGCCATGTGCTGGATCACGCGCTGGTGGCCGAGCCGGACGACTGCTGGCCAGTCCGCGCCTTGCGCCACGCTCAGCGCGAGCGGCGAGTCGAAGCCGGCGGAGACGAGAGCGTCGGCGTAGGCCGACGCGTCCTCTACGCTCACGCAGCACGTCTCCACGAGCCAATGCGCGATTTGCGCGCGGTCCCAAGGGTGCATGGCTTCGCAGTCAGTTCCAGCGGCGGCAGGGCCGCCGCCTTTCATTTCCCTAAAGGTTCTTCGGGCCCCTTTAGGGGGGCAAACCCTGCCCGGCCCCTAGGACCCCAGGTATAAGGCCCAGGTGTGGCCTAGGGCATCAGAAGGGACCAAGAGGAGTCCAGTCTGAGCCATAGAGCCCATGTCTTTGCCCCCGAAGGTCGCGTTCAAATGCCCGGAACGGACGTCACAGTGGTGTCCGGCCGGCGCGATCACCGAGCTGTGACGCTCAGGGAAGCCTGATGAGGTACTGGTTTCTTTGCCCAGGGCTGGCCTACGGCCCGTGCTGGATCAGCTGAGCAAGGTTTGGGGAGAATCCCCCATTCAGATCTTCAGATATTTTGACGGATGACCAAAATCACCCCGTTTTTGCCGGACGTGTAAAGAGAAAGAAAGAAAAGAGAGAACCCAAGGGAGGGACCGGACGTGTGGCGAAGGAGAAGTGAGTTTTTTAAAAGCACGTCTTGTCCTTTCGCCTGCGGAAACGTTCAGGGCTCCCTAGATGTCACCTGTGGCGCCCGCTGATGGATGCCGGCAACTCCGACGCCACTGCGCCCTCCGGAGTGGGCGAACAGGTGCGGATGTGCGGGGTCACGCGGATCGTGCAGTCACGACCCCGCTGCCCCGACTCCCGACAACGGTCTCGGCGGCTGCGAGCCACATCCCGATGCCACCCCGACCCCCAACGCCGCCCCCGACGTCGTGATGTCGGACGCGTGCAGCTCCTCCGTGGAAGTGAGTCCGGAGGCTGCGCTCCAGCTACTCGCGGACGCGCTTCGCGCTCGTCACAACCCCCCGCCGGGACAGCGCGCCGTCACGACCAATTCCTGGAAAGCTGTCGATGAGCTCGAGCTGGTTATGCGTCGCTGGCGTGCAACACTGGACCACAGCAAAAAGAGCGAGGTCACCGTGGGCACTCGCAAAGCCGACGCGTGTAAGAAGCACTTCTCGCGGCTCAAGTCGGACCTGCAAGAGCGCATGCCATCTCAGCTCGTCGAGGCCATCTGCAATGTCACCGCCGAGCAGCTCAGTCCCGAACGATCCCGTGCGCATTGCAGTGATGGTGCCTCCGGAGGTGCCTCTGAGCTGGACATGTTTTGGTCACCGTGTTCGAATTTTCTCCGGAACTTCAACTGACTGTGCAGGCGCACCGGCCAGGGCTACAATAGTGCCAGTGAGGCGGAGGGCGACTCGGAAGGCCGGGTAGTCTCCCCCCATCCCCAGGGCCTCCAGGGCTCGCACCTCAACCTCTCATAGACCAGCGCAAAGCGCCATAGGACGTATTTTCTTGTCAATAACAAGGTCTGTGAACCCAGCCACGTACGGTAAAAAGTAACGTACTCCACACACACAAAGTGGTTGGGCAAGGTGGGGCGACCCTCGGAGGTTGGGTAAGGTTAAAGCATAAAGGTAAATTTCTCCACACACACACAAAATAATGAATAAAGTGGTGGGGCACGACTTGTGGGTGGGGCAAGAGGGGGGGCGACCGCGCGCGACCCGCTCGCATGCAGTCTCCACACCCGGACTGCGGACTTTAGCGGACACGGGCAGGAGGCCAGGAGCCCCACGGCATTCAAAGTGCAAGCACTGGCCCGGCTCACGTGGGTGAGCAGCCTGCCCCTCCCTCCCCCGACAACGAGTCAACGACCATGCAACTCTCCCGCACACACACACAATCGCACCTGGCACCTCTGGGTACCCGAGAGGCGGAGAACCGCCCCAGCGTGCAGCGATGCAGAGCGACTCACTGTGTGTGTGCTAAAAGACAGGATCTCCGCAGACAGCCAAAACGGGCCGTGCCGCGTTGTTGGTGTCTTCTCAAGCACACTAGCATCCGGGCGCCGCATATTCTGACTCGAGCGGGCGGGTCACCTATGTGTGGGCCCAGTGCGCACTAGGCGCATATGCTAGTGCTATCCTGCCCTATGAAATGGGGGGCAGAGGGATGGGGGGAGGGGGGGGCAGAGGTAAGGTGGGGTGAGACTGGTCCTGCCTGCAGGCCGCATCAATTGGTTTGCCGCTCCGGGACGACTCGTAGAGCTCTTTGGTGAGCCCAGCCTGGCCAGCCTCTCGCGATATGTCGGTGACGCCATATGTCGGTGCAAGTGGGGCCGAGGATCGTCCTCGGCCCCGGCGCGCCACCCGCCAGCGCTGGGGCCGAGGACACGCTTCCCGCTGGTGGTGGTGCTGGTCCCAAAACCCTCTCTTTGGCGTAATGCGACGCATTTTTGGACACTGGCAAAAGTTTAAAGCCGTAGCCCAGTAAGTGACGTAGACGCACCGACCGAGTTTACTCTACGTAATTCCCGCAGGGCGTATGTGATGCGTATGGGCCTCCTTGCATGTACGCGTAGCAGTACTGCTCACGATTGCTTATAGGAGCGTCGCGAGAACGCTACGGTACTGACTACTATGTTGCCTCCGACGACAGCTGGGCCGCGCTACACCAATGTACGCATCATCTCGATGCACTCCGCCTTCTTGCCGCCACAGTGCACCGCCAAGGTGTTGCCCGATGGTATCTGCAGTGCTCGAGCTTGATCGTTGAGATGAGACCGGACGCGGTGGTTGAAAAACCAGACGTTGAGATGTTTGCCACGCACGACGTTGCCATCGTAGGGAAGGTTGCCATCGTAGGGAAGGCTTCCACGCGTACTCGCGGTGCGACGGGAGCAGTCGGATTCAACTTCTTGAGGGCGGTTGAGCCAGGGATCTCTAGACACTACTGCCGCCAGGATCCTGCGCCACGGCTCATCACCAAATCCCGAGTTGCTCTCATTCCATCCCGCGCAATTGAGACGCAAAACATATGACGGGCGTAGATTCGACCTCCATCGAACTGGCGAAAATGCTCGTAGGCCAGCGATTCCGACACGTAGTTTCCTCCGAGCCGAGACGGCCGCTCTCGGAAGAGCCTTGCAAAGTGGGGATAGACGTCCGCGAAAATGTCGTACTGCCTTGGCTCGCCGACTGCGAAGCCATCCGATTCGAAGTAGAACGTTTTGTTCAAATCAATGGTGCGCAGATCAACGAAGGGTACGCCAAATGCGGTGTCGGGGCGCATACGAACGACGTGCGTGTAGCGCACATTGTGCGTGTACTCGTATTCGGATCGCATGCGGTTCGAAATGTAAATGCCGCGCCACATGGCGATGCGGTTGACTGACGACTTGTGAATAACAGCGCGCTCGTAGATGTCATGTGCCTGCATTCGCGAATACTCCGGGAATTCGGAAATGAGGAAGTCGCGAATTTGTCTAGTGAATGGTATGGCGACCAGCGCCTTTGACCACGGCTGAGCCCGCATCCATTCGACTGTGGCCTCGTCGGCTTTGGCAACATGCAGATACGAGAAGACGTCCGCATCGTTCGGGCGTTGAATTGAGGCGACAAAGTTGGACGCCAATCGCTGAAAGCTCCGCAACTCACCCGACATGCAGATGGCGACGCGGGCAGCTGCGAGACGAGGCGAGGGCGGTGGGTTTGGCCGAACGCGTTCGACTCTCCATGCTGCTGGTGGCCTCTTATGCGAGCACGCGAGCGACAAGTTGGCGTGGTGATACCACCGACAGGAATGCTGCCGCGCATTGTTAGTGCTGCTTGCGACAGTTAAGCAGCGTGGGCAAGAGCGACAGAGGTGAACGCATGCGTCGTGTGACGGCGCGTCAAACTCGCCATAAAGGGTCAACGGCATATCACATCCAGACGACGAGGGCAGCTTCAGCTGCTTCAGCAGCAAATTCCAATCAACTCGCGGCGGATGCCGGCGCACGGACTGGTTGACCTGCTGCAAGTAGGTGACGGCGCGCCCATGCCACTTATGTGGCGGCTCGAAAGTGGTGCAGGATGCCCAACAGAAGCAGCCCATTGGCAGGCGTAGCGTAAACGCAACACTGTCTGCGCAAAGCATGGCACACGTGTCGACGGCGCTGGCGTCGTGCTCGCGGTAGGCGCCAGCGAGTGTCTCATTTCGCCGGCAATGCCGCTGCACACAACGCCAGTCTGCCTGGCTGGAGCACTTGAGGCCGACTCGAGCATGGCCGTCCAGCAATTGCCGCGAGCCGGAATGCGCGGGGAGCGTTGGCAGAGCAGCCGCAAGTGAGCCCAAAATCGTCAGCATAGCATGACGCTATGAAAGAAAACGAGCTCAATTTAGGTGCCCTGTAGGCTTGGCTGCAAAGGGGATTTTCGCGTTTTGTTTTTTTGCTCACAAAAGCGGGCGGCGTCTCGTGCTCGCAACCCTCTCCGAGGTCGTGCTTGACCGCCCTCGAGGTCGTGCTTGACCGCCCGCCGGTCGCCGTCCCGGCGCGAGATGCAGCCGGGCTTGCCGTCGTCCAGCCCTTTTTGCTTCGTTCGTCGGCAACGACGCGCCAGTCCTGGCGCAGCCGCCCCGCCGTGCGGTCCACGGCCTTGCAGCCCGTCGACGCGCCCGACGACGTGACCGCGGCCGAGATGGAGGCCTTCATGCATCACAGTTAGTCCGAGTCGAGCTTGTCCCAGCCGCCCGACGACAGCGACATCGCCCACGAGTTCATCGAGTGGCAGGCGGCGCGCCGCGAGACGTTGCGGGCCGCCGATGCAGGCCGCCCTCGCGACTCGCAGGCCGACGTCGCCGCACCCGACGCCGCCGGCGCCGACGATTCGCCCGACGCGCCTCGCGCCTCCGGCGAGCCCTCGCCCGAAAACCAGACGGGGCGCGCGACTCTGCCCGCACCTGCGCCGGCGGCGGCGGCGTCCGGCCGCCGCCGCCGCCGCCGCCGCCGGAGCAAGCCGCTCGCCGGCGGCGGCGACATCAAGGAGAACTCGGAAGTCGAGATGACGCGCTAATGGTCGAGCGGCCCTCTCTCTCTCTCTCTCTCTCTCTCTCTCTCTCTCTCTCTCTCTCTCTCTCTCTCTCTCTCTCTCTCGCTCTCTCTCTCTCTCTCTCTCTCTCTCTCTCTCTCTCTCTCTCTCTCTCTCTCTTACCTGAGGGAGGGTATAGAATGTAGAGCGCTGTATACTCGAGTAGCTCTCTCTGACTGACTGATCGAGCGAGCGAGGGGTCCCGTACCATGCGGAATCAACCCTATCCAGTGCTCAAGTGCTCAAGCTGTAGAGCTGTAGAGCGCTGAGTGTAGAGCTGTAGAGCTCTACATCCGGCGCGGGACGGACTGCCTGCGTTGTAGAGCGATGTAGAGCGCGAATTCACAGTGAAATCACTATAAGTAAATACCGTCCTCGGGCTACTGCCTACTGTGATAGGCACATCAGAATCAAGACACGTCAACCATGTGGGTGTCTATGTGTTTCTCTCGGGCAGTAGATTCTTGATTGTCTTCACTCCCGGGGTGTGTTCGACCGGGCTAGCGGCTACCTTCCTCTCACACGGCACTTTCCTCTCACACGCGGGGGTCCGCCGTCCGTGCCGGCCGGCTCGGAGCAGCGCGCGGCAGCCAGTGGCAGTGCCACACTTTGCGGATCATGTTCATGTTGTCAAACGAAAGCGCACGGCGCACACACACGGTGACGGAGAGATCGGCCGGGGGGACGACCGACCGCTGATATACGCTACGCTGTGGGTGTGTGTGTGCGAGCGTGCGTTCGTGTATGGGGCGTGGCGACAGCGCCCGCCGTCTCTGCTCCAAATCTGACTTGAGTGCTGCGCTGTGGCTCATGTAGCGCTTGTAACGGGAATCCGGAATCCGCGGAATGTGCAGCGTTCACGCACGGTGCAGCCGCAAAACTCTCAGCCTCGGGCGGCGGCAGCGACTCGAGCTGCTTCAGCTCCTCCGCCTCGGCTGCGGTCAGCTCTTCTTGCTTGCTCTTCAGCTCCGCGATCCGCGCCTACGAGACCGAATTCGGAGCTTAATCGGTGCTAATAGAGACTAATAGAGGAGAGCCGGGGGGGCCCGTTTCCGCACTGCGCACACTGCGGGTGCGGGCTGCGGGGCGCGCGGGCGCACGGACCACGCTCCACGGTGCCTCCGGGGGCCCCACCAGCGCGGGCGCACGGACCACACCCCACCAGCGCGTGTGGGCAGCTACAGCGCAAAAGCTGCGTGGTGCGTCTCTCCGAGCACTGCGGCGCGTATTGCGGCGCCACATACGCTCTCAGGTACTCAGGAGAGATGGTATGCCGATGCATAAACGCCTCGAACTATAGGTATAGAATCCGAAATGCTCGCCCCCCTCTCTCTGCCCAGCTCCTCTGCGAGCGGGCCGCGGTGCGCGGTAGAACTTTTAAACTGAT